ATATATGGAAGACCATACCAACATTACCAAAATCTTAACTTTCAATTTAAAATTAGAACAAGAACATTTTTATTTGCGCCAATGAACAAACACATGCATAATTTTTCCTTGTTATTTGCATTGACTGGTTATCAATTCAAAAATTTCATAGTAAAACAATTGTAAATCAGTAACAGACAGGATCAAATCGATTATCAACTTCCAATTCAGTTAGACATTTTACTATGAACATTCTAAAATAATTATTAATTTAATTTTCTGTGCAAAATAATAAAGGAAATATGCGTTTGTAGAAGATGAAGATAATTTTCAGATGAAAGCTAATTATTTTCATTCAAGTAAACAATTATATATTGAATTGTTTAGTTTAGCCTTTACACAATATAAATGAATAACCTTTAACCTTTAATATCTATACTTACGAAATTCTATGAGGAGCTTTATCACCCCCACCCTTAACCAAAGCTGAAGCGCTGACTTCAATTCACTACATATTTGATAATTCTTGCCTCAGGTTCCCTTGCTACAAACACATTTTTAATATTTAAAACTGCCTACACCAAGCTCATTGAACAGTGGGTGTTGACCAATTACAACTAACATAACGGAACACATGACTGACCTGGTGAGCCAATTCATGAGAAATGACAACCGCTACCCTTTGCTGATTGCTTGCAGAATTTTCATTCTCATCAAAAAGGAGTGCTGTTTCCCTGTATGTTATTAAACCCCAGTTTTCCATTGCGCCAGCAGAAAAGTCAGGTATGGCGATCATGTCTGAAAATTGAAGGGAAATGGGACCGTTTTACAGAAATTGGCCTCAACTGTGGCATAGGATGCCACGGTGAACAATGAAAATTAAGCCTATTTGTTATTTTATCGAGTTTGCACATGAACATCAAGTAGACGTGTATGCCTTCAGTAAAAATATTAGTACTGTATTTCAAGAAAGATGAACCTAAGACGGCTTTAATAGTCACAATAGCAGAATCCGTACTTTTGTGATCGCAATATCGGAGAAAAATAAATGATTACAAAATGCCGGTTATTAGTATACTTTGACTACGAGATATTACCTTGTTTAGGCAGCGGGTAAGCAATGTCGAAATAGTCTTCAAAGAATTCTAATATTTTGATTCCACAATCGAGTGCATAATCCACTGTATTGATCCGTTCTTTTCTTGCCCATACACGGAACTAAAACATAAAAGCATCTTTTTTATTATCGGCATGTTATTACCGTACGGCGTGGTGATGACGAACTGTGATGATGATTTGCAATGGTAGTAATGTTGATGTTGTTATGATGGTGATGATGATGATGATGATGATAATAATAATAATAATAATAATAATAATAATAATAATAATAATAATAATAATAATAATAATCATAATAATAATTGTTATAACAACAATAACGACGATAATGATAGGGTAATATATCTTTCGCATCAGTAATCTTATAAACTAACCGTGACATTTCTACTTGTTTTACCCTCTTTATATTCAAAGTCAGAGACTATAAACGCTAACAAATACGTTGACATTGGTGGCGTTGTATCGAAAGTTGTCTTCGTCCAACCAATCCAATTACCACTTAACGCTTCGGTGGTTATGTTAGGCATATTGGTGATAGCCGTTAGATCGTTCGGATGTATGATAGTTGTGTCGAATTTAGCTTTGAACGCGGGCTCGTCAAAACACGGCAGTGCACGTCTGGCATCTGTCGGTTGCATCTGGGTCGTTGCTATGTATCTGCAACATTCAATGTTCAACTCATTGAAAATGGAATAATAGAAAATATAATATAATAACAAATATACTGAAAGGCAGACTACTATATTTAGCACAAGGATTCACCTTTACAGTTGTCCATGCCATATGTTAACGGCAATGAGTTTACAACACCAACAAATAGGCGTTGCTTAGTATTAAACATAGTAGAACCCCTCCTTTTGGAAACCCCTATTAATGAGACACTTTTCCGTGAAACGAGAAGAAATATATCTTTTAATACTACGGCCAACTGCTAATGAGGAGACACCCTTCCTATCAGGGGAGGGACACACTTCCTGAGTGTGCCACAAGGACAAAGTAATTTTAACCCTATGAAGGTTATTTTTTATTGTATCAAAACAACTATGGTAGTCTCAAAATAAGAAAAATTCATTACAACTTTTATTTTGTCACCTTTTGAGCAAATTTAACATCTAACCAGAATTGTTTCCTCGCAATATCTAGAATAAACATTATTACATGCCTAGTGCATGTACTATACTTCGTTTAAATGCAATCATCTCTCAATTGTGACCAATAACCATGAGGATTTCTTGTTTTAGCGTATTTTTATATAGGATTCTAATCTATACTGTATAGCCAGATGGGTAATCGTTATGCATTTTCAACATTAGGCTGTGGATGGTCTATTCAGGGATATGAGCCCACGATGATCTCCAGGATCCTTCTGACCCGGAGGGAGAGCACCTGTCAGGGTCCCACCCTGGGTTACGGGAAGTTAGTTATTTAATCAATAAAACAATAAATAAATAAA